GATTTTAAGAATACGAACTTATTCTTTATAATCTAAATATTATACTTAACAAAATCAAAGAGTATTAGCCTCTTTTTCTTCCTCTTTTAAATTAATCTTTTATTTCTTTTAAAGTATAAATTTAGCCTCTTAATACGCGTTTAATAGCTTAATCTCTTAAAAAGCAAGCTACTTAATTACAAAATATAACTCTAAGTTATTAATTACTTTTATAAGAAAAGTTTATTAAAGGGGCTCTAATTTAGGCTAAAACAGCTATATAAATTCGAAAGAATTTATAAGAATATATTATAGCTAAAAGAGAATAAAAAGAACAAAGATGTAAAGGTCTGCACTAGCTACAAACTAGAGGAGTTCTTTATGCTGAACAAGCTTGAGTTATGACTAAACAACGTGAAGAAGAGGGGGGTACACAGGAGATAAGGGCTCAAAAGCGAGAGCAAATTCTATGAAAAGAGCTGGAAGATGAGCGTCGGCGTACGGCAAATTTGGAGTAGACTATCATAAATGGCCCTCTAGAAGAAATAGAGAATTAATATCCTAATCCGGCGAATTTTGAGCTATCTATACTCCTTCGAAGTCGAATCTCCGCTTTAAAAAACGCGTTTGGCTGTAAAACGCGTTTGGCTGCTAGCCACGCGCTGTGCGCGCTGGCTTTGTAGGGGTACCCCCCCTGCAAAGTGGGTCTCTAGGGATCCACCCATTGGGCCACAGATATCTATTCTAATGAGTCAAATCATTACAACTAACTCCTTTTGAGCATAGCGGCTCTGTACAGAGAGAGTTTATAAGCAAAGGTACTAGCGCTGAGCTAACAATACTTCAGGCCCCTTGTACGGAGTCATGCTTCAAAAGTTATCAATATACGCTAATATTAGCGTGTCATTAGCATAGCTTAGCTCATACCTAGCTACCATACTAATTTGTATAGCGCCCTAGTAACGCTGAAACCTACAGTACTACACCAAAAGTATTAGGACACCCCGCATTTTTACCCCATTAACATTTTCCACTCTTCCCATACAAATTACTACTGTACGCCCGGTATTTATTGAAATCCTATAAGAATCAATTAAATAGTGCGCTAAAATCTGCTCTTTCGAATAGTACTAATTTCCTAAATAGGCAGCTAGATATCAGAAGCGGGTATACTATCCTTTGGCCCTAATCACTGCATTTATACAGGTATCCATGCTCTTAATTAAGGCATCAATAGCTTCTTGCCTAATAGCGTCCTAAGCCTCATGAATAGTAACTAGTTAAAAGAATATAAACATCTATAAATAGCAGAAGCAATTTAACGTTATATTTAATAGGTTATAAGCTTGGAGAGCACCCTCTAAATGCTAATAGATAAATAGAGCATTAAGCAATTAAAGGAGATCCTAATTAGCAGTATTCTGTAATCCCTTATTCCAAAAGGTCCTAAATCCGCCTAGTAATTTTAGGACCTTAAGTTAATTAGACTCCTCTATAGCCTTAAAGCTCTCTGAAGTCCTTTACAGTCTCTGTAAGATAAGCTCTATTGATAATAATAACCATGAGAAGCGAGAGAAGCTTAAGGGCTTTAAAAACTGGCCTCGTTAGTCCAATTTGGCCTATTTACGTCTAATAAAGAAAGAGCTATAGAAATACATCGCCCCTAGTCTACTGAACGACCCAGATAATCACAGAGCCGCAAGAGCAGCCTATATCCTAAAGAGGGACGTAAGCAATAAGCTGTTTTAGGGCATTAAGGCTATTAATGACTCACGGCTTATCTGGAATCATCTCAAATCTGTATGCTTACAAGCCGGACAGGGCGTTATCTACACGTCCTTACAAGAGCTCTTCTCTTATCCGGCTAATTACAAACCCTTTGGCCTTAAGAAGTCTATTAATGCTCGTATTAACAAGCTATCAGCTATTGTCAAGCGGATTCGTATAGCTATCAACCTTATAAGGGACATTTAGAAGGATATTTAGATTATTTAACTTTTTAAAGGCCTTCTTACCTAATTTGATAGCAAGAAAGAGCATATTCTTAATCAGAAGAATATAAAGCTAGCTAACGTTTAATAGATACTCGCTTCTAAAGAAGTATAAATTAATGTAGACCTTAAGACAGGCCTGTTATCTAAAGTAGCTATAAGCGTAAGATTCAAGAGCAGGCAATATAAGAACCTAGCTAAGATCTAATACTATAACTATAATAAACTTAGCTACTTTATAAGGGACTACAAATTAGCTAAACAAACTAAAAGAAGTACTAACAAAAAGAGAAATACTACTAAGTCAAAGTAGCTAGCCTCTAAATGCTATATTAATTAGGCGAAAGCCTTGTCCCAATACTTTTGGTGGGGTACTGTACGTATGACAAGTTGACAACGCATTTGGGCGTGCATTTAGAGCGCGTTTTTGACGACGAATTTGACGGCGAATTTGATAGTAAATTCAATGGCGAATTCAACAGCAAATAAGGCTGCAAATACCCTATAGCTATCCTGCTTGACCGCTATTTATACGAGCAAATTGCCCTGCGAAACTGCCTTGCGAATTGCCTGCGAATTTATTGATAAATGGCCTCTACAGACTCTTTTGGTAAGTAAATCCATGGCCTCACAAGTTGTTCGTGCTCACGCTCGTACAGGGCGAAATTCTGCTCTTCGAAATACTCCTTCTCCTCGAAATACCCCTCCTGCTCGAAGTAGTCCTTCTCCTGCGCCTCAGGAAGCTGCAAACAGTCGTTCACGATATATAATCGCACAGCGAGTTCACTGCCTAGTATTACAAGGCGAAGGATACTCATGGCGTGAGATTAAACGAAGAACGGGTATCAAGCAGTCCCAATAATCATTTATCAAAAAAAAGGCGTTTAATCGAGGATTTCGACCTGATATAGATCCTCGAATTCTTGATTATTACGTTGAGGATGGGCGTCGAATGGGCCGGCCGAAGGAGATTTCGCTTGATTTAGAACAACAGTTGCTTGCAAGCGTTAGAGCAGATAAAGCAGGTAGAGAGAAATCAAGCGAAGTTCTTGCTTATGAGTGTGGTATTAGCTCTGCAAGTGCTTTACGAATTCTGCGTAAACATGGCCTCACAAACGTTAAACCAACTCGAAAACCTGGTCTTAATAAGGCTTAACGACTTGCTCACCTTGAATTCTGCTTAAAGCATCAAGATTGGACTCTAGAGGACTGGACATGAGTCATTTAGAGCGACGAAACGTCTGTTATCCTTGGTCAACAAAGAGGCTCTGTTCGTATATGGCGAGATATCAATGAGGCGTATAATTCAACAGCTATTCGACGACAATAGAAGGGATTCTCAGAATTCATGTTTTGGGGCTGTTTTAGCTGGGATAGAAAAGGGCCCTGCCATATCTGGAAGAAAGAGACTATTACAGAGCGCAAGGCAGCAGATAAGGAGCTTGAAGAACTTAATAAGTCTCTTGAATCTGAGCTCAAAGCGATCTGGGAGATCTCTAGCGGAGTCAGTCGCATAAATCTCCGTTAACGACCTTCTGGCCGTCGACCACAATGGCGTTTTAATAAGGCGAATGGCAAGCTTGTTCGAGAGGGTAAATCAGGAGGTATTGATTGGTTTCGGTATAAGCTATCTCTCTGAGTTTGATAGAGCTAACAGAAATAGGTATTGGAAGGTGATTCTCCTGCCAAAGCTCATCCCTTTTGCGAAAGAGTGCCTCAAAGATCGTCCAGATACAGTTGTACAAGAAGATAATGCCTCTCCTCACGCTCATCGATATCAAGATACTGTATATAGTTTATACAACGTTTCTCGCCTTCTTTGGCCTGGTAATTCGCCAGATCTCAACGCTATTGAACCCGCATGGTTCTGGTTAAAGAGAAGGACTACAGCATGCGGTGTGCCTGCGACTCGCAAGGCTATGGAGGCTGCTTGGTATCAAGCATGGAAAGATTTGTCACAGGAGCAGATATAACAGTGGATTGCAGCTATTCCTCATCATATCCAAGAGATTATACGGCTTGAAGGAGGCAATGAATATAAGGAGGGCGTCAAGGGCTTCAAACGTAGCTGGGCTGGCACTCGACTCAAAGGGAAGCTCTCTACGCTACAGTTTGTTGATAGTAAAACTCAACACCAAGCGCAGGATGATGATAATAGCGCCAGTGAGGTTGATATAGAGGAGGAGGAAGAATTGATTGAATGAGGAGATTATCTGTTCTAAATCCCTTACAATTTGTGTGGGCGCTAGAACAGCTAGTCTCCGCCGCCAATAGTACGCTAATATTAGCGTATATTGATAACTTTTGAAGCACGACTCCGTAGTAAGGGGTACATCAATTTAGTGTGGTTCGAACCCACTGGCGCTGTCCTTTTGGCGGAGTGGTTGATGTGTCCCTTTTCTGATTGGACAATGACTCATCTGCTCAGTCAACAACTAGCCCATTTCTAGAATGGCGTGTGTGGTGCAGCCCACTAAGCCCGTCTGGGGGACTGAGGCAACCACCACAGCCACAGTGAGGCCTTCTGACAAGTGTCTTCGACACCTATGGACCGCCTTGCCTTGATTTTATGTGACTTTATGTAGTAGTAAAGTGCACCGCTTGCAACGACTGCGTAATTAATGGTCGATGCAGTGAAATATATTCAATGAGCGTGCGGCAATGAGACCTTCAATCGATATAGTGTCTTGAGACTCATTGTTCATGGAACTCACTCTCAATCATGTGGCTTCTCAAAACCGTGCTCAACGAGGATGGAAGCTTCTCGCCTGCCCTCGAGGAATTCGAGGGCCAGGAAATCCCTGAGTACGCCATCTTGTCCCATACATGGGATGAGGAGGAAATCCTATTTGCTGATGTCATGCGAAACCCCCAGAATGCATGTTTCAAGAAAGGCTTCATGAAGATCGAAAAAGCGGCTGAAAGGGCAAGGATTGATGGCCATACGTACATATGGATCGATACTTGCTGCATCAGCAAAGAGAGTAGCGCAGAGCTCCAAGAGGCGATCAATTCCATGTACATATGGTATGAACGGGCCGTGGTGTGCTATGCGTACCTTTTTGATGTTCATCACTTAACGCTATATGAAGAAGAAGAAGAAGGCTTCGAGACGGCTCTGCGGCGATCCAGATGGTTCACACGAGGATGGTGCTTGCAGGAGCTCCTGGCCCCCAGGACTGTTGTCTTCTTCTCTTCGGAGTGGACGAAGATTGGGACTAAAGCATCCATAGCTAAGCTCATTGCTTCAATTACATCAATCGATGTCGATTACCTCACCGGACTTCAGCCAATCCGCTCGGCAAGCGTGGCGAAGAAGATGTCATGGGCAGCTCACCGGCAGACTCGGCGGATAGAGGACACAGCTTATTGCCTGATGGGAATATTCTCTGTGAACATGACGATGTTGTACGGAGAAGGCTCGAAAGCTTTCCTGCGCCTACAGAAAAGAATCTGGAAACAATATGAAGACCAATCGCTTTTTATGTGGTTGGATCCCGGCATGGATCCAGATACACCTCACGGCCTCCTAGCAGACAGCCCTGCTGTATTCGCAAACACTGGCCACTGTTACGCATTCGACAACATCGAAGGCAAGTCGCCAGTCGAAATGACAAGCAAAGGGGTGCGTGTCTACCTCCGCGTTATGTATGCCGGGAAGAATTGTTATGAGGCAGCACTTAACTGCACACCTGCCCTGTTTTCTAGGCACATCAGCAGGAATATCGCTAGTATTTACCTCAGAAAGCTCGATTGGGGCGTCGAGCAATTTGTGCGGGTCCAGTGTAATTACTTGGGCCATTTACATGATGATGAAGGCTCATTGCAAACTGTATTCATCCCGCAGCAGATTCATGAGAGAAATATCGAGCACATCCTGTATCCGAGACATACCGTCCACCTTCGAAAGAACTCCCAAGCCGTCAGCGGCGGCGCCTACACCCTGATTGATATGGCATACGATGCATTAGGGACAGCACATGATGAAACGTCCGCAGCGACTGTTAGCAGCGTGACGGACATATTTTCCAAAGCATGGGCTCCCTCACCTTTCCCTCGACAGTTCGAGATCTTCAGTCCACGAAAGCTGATAGTCGCTTTGTTGTTCCGGAGGCTACTTGATGGCGAGCAAGTCGCTATAATCTTGGGCACCGATGAGCAGTCTCGGGTGGGATTCTGTGCTTTGCCGACCAGAGTCCGTAAACTGGAAAGCATATCTGATTTTGAAACTCATTTCAATGATTCCAACGGGAACCTGGAGCCCACGGGCAGCGTCGTTCAACTTCAGTGGCACCGCGTTGAGGTCTTCAGCGAGACGCAGTTCTTTCAGAGCTACAGAATATCAATATTAGATTTCAATCTCGAGGCGATCTGGGACAACGAAGAAGCCGGGGCAAGGACAGCAACTACTTCTAATGGGGCTACGACAATGTCAACAACAGAACCAGCATTTCAATTTCATTCGAGTAACCTGAAAACGCTCAAGTTCTATTCAGATTACGTCGGCCCCGTGGCATATTCGCCAGACGGTAAACAAATTGCGTGTTTATCTTACAATTCGATTAAACTCTGTGACTCGGCCACTGGGAAAACGCGCCATACATTTAGTAGCAGTCCGGAACAGTTTTGGGCCGCAACGTTTTCGCTAAATGGGAAAGATATTATATCTATATCTAAGCATCTAGGTGTGAGAATTCAGGTCTGGGACTTAAATTCAAAAAAGGAGCACGGTGATTTAGAATACATTACAGGTTATTCAGATTCGCTTTCAGCTGTAGCGTTTTCACCAGACGGAAAGCAGATCGCGTTCTATTCACCAGATGATAAACAAATCAGGCTCTGGAACCGGGCTACAGGCGCAGAAGGCCGCATATTCATAGGTCATTCACGTGGAGTTTCAGCCACAGCATTTTCGCCGGACGGAAAAATAATTGCATCTGCATCGTACGATAAGACAGTCCGGCTCTGGGATCTGGCTACAGGAGTAGCGTATGGCACATTTGAAGGTCATTCAAAGGCGGTTCGGGCCATAGCGTTTTCACCAGATGGAAAACAAATCGCATCCGCATCGAATGATACGACAGTCCGGCTCTGGGATTCGGCTACAAGAACAGAAAATGCCACATTCAAAGGCCACTCAAAGGCGGTTCGGGCCATAGCGTTTTCACCAGATGGAAAACAAATCGCATCCGCATCGGATGATATGACAGTCCGACTCTGGGAGTTAGCTACGAGAGCGGCTAGTAGTACGCTTAGAGGCCACTCAGACGCAATCCGGGCTATAGCATTCTCGCCAGACGGAAAGCAGATCGTGTCTGCGTCGGACGATCACACAGTCCGGCTTTGGAACTCAGTCACACGAGCGGTAACCTCTACATCAGATAAATAAGACAATTTCTAAACCCAATAAGAGGCTCTTTTGACACCGACGAAATGCGGGAGGAGGACTCGGTCAGGATTGATGTGCTAATGCTATGAAGTTTGCCACTCTGCGTGCAGCATTAGAGGCTGGTATGTATGAGAAAGTCTTGCCTAAGCCTCGTACAAGCCTGACATGACATGGTAACAGTAGTGATTTGCCTCATCATGATGCTCCTTACCAGCTCTGTCCCTTGTACTTGAATCAGCCATAACCCATTTGGTACATGCGCTTAGAGTTCAATCCAGGGGATCGCAGGATCTTTCATTCTTTCTCGGAATGGACGTGGTCACTCGGTCTGAAGCTGCAATTGTATCTCGATTCTACCGCCGCTGGGCATCTCCAACAAGCCTCAAACAGAAGACCTTTCAGCATGCCGTCGCGTGCCAAATAACTCCGTCTCCTTGACAATCTGCTCGAAGCCATAATCATGAAGGGGAAATACCAGTTGCGCTTTACTCGGAGCAGACTCGCTTCAGATCCAGGGCCCTCCTCACTCCTGCTCTTGATTCCTCTACCGACACCCAAGGTCCGTCACAAAGTCCAGAACTTGCGGCGAGAAGTTCTTCTGCATCACAGACTCCAAACTCTTACTTTCAGGCTAGTCTACCGCCACATTTTCCCATTGTATTTCCTACCTCAGAGTGGAGGATGGTTGTGGTACAGCTGTGGCGGCACCGGGCGGAGTAAGCATTAAAGGGGAGCTGGAGAGTCTCCAAGAAAGGCAATTGTCGACCAAGATGGGGACGAGAGACTGACTTTAGTGGGAAATGGTAACGGTGACGTGTCCCAGTGGCTTTGTGCCGTTCATCGGGGGGACATTGGGCTCAAGTCATGGAAAGATGCAGGACAGGTCTGTGGAGAATATGGAGGCAGAGACTGAGTACTCAGTGTAGGTCATCTCGTTGCGTCTAGGTATGCTACTAGCAGGCAAAAATGCGCTTTCGAGTATTGGATCCATGCATCTTCCTTGCTACCAGCCCTCGAAATTGCCAAATCCACCTCCACCCTTCGACTTCTTCATTGGCTGCTCCGTCTGATAATCATCATCTACATATTCCACGATTTCATCATCTCCTGAAGGCTGCGCTGCAGTGCTATCCATGGCAGCTTTGAGGTACTTCCCCACCCCGCCTCCACCATCATCCTGCACCGTCCCATCATTCCGTATCCGTTTTCCCGTCCAGGTAGTCCGCTCTTCGTCGCCCTTCCTCCTCTCCTCTTTCTCCTTCTCCGCCTCCTCATCTTCCCGCTTGTTCTTCCAAAACTCCTCAAATGGATCCACATACACGACAGCCTCAATAATTTTTACCTCCTCCTTCGGCCTATTCGTTGAAGGATCGACAGGTACATCCTCCAGTTTCCTCAGCACATCCATCCCGTCTACCACTCTCCCGAAGACGGTGTGCTTCCGGTCCAGGTGGCTCGCTGCACGATACGTAATGAAGAACTGACTTGAATTCGTATTCTTCCCTTTGTTCGCCATGCTAACCACACCTCTCGCATCGTGCTTTAGCGGCCCCTCAACCTCATCTTCAAAGTTCTTTCCCCAGATGCTGCTTCCACCTCGGCCAGTCCCAGTGGGATCGCCTGTCTGCAACATAAAGTTGCGGATGTTCCGGTGGCAGATGACGCCATTGTAGTAGCCCTTCTGAGCCAGGCGAACAAAATTCCAGACGGCTTTCGGTGCGTGCTCTGGGAGCAGCTCGAGGTTGAGTTCTCCGTGGTTGGTTTGCAAGCGGACGAAACCGGACTGCTTCACCCTGCCACGCTTGAGGAGATATTCTTCGTCTGAGAGGAGTGCTAATGCGCCAGAGGTATGGGGTGTCACCCCTGTGGAGGTGAATGATGCCGCTGCTAGACCAGTCGTGTGATGAGAAGCATTGAACGGTACAGATTTCGGTTTATGCATGGGAGTCTGGCTGTCAGCAGCCCTATGGCTTGTCTGGGTCAGAGTGATCCCATTCTTAGCCGCAGGAGAAGCCTTCCCAGCAGCTCTCTCTGCCCGGGCGCGAGCGACGGCTTCTTTGGCCTTGATGATCTTCGCCGATGATCCTAGCGCGTCAGTATTGACGGCCGCCTCTTCCTTTTTGATGCCCGTGTCTTCTCCATCCTTCAAGTATTTGAAAGAGCTTAGATCCCTTGATTCCAAATTCTGTGGATCCTGTAACGTGATGATGTCCTTCCTCGTAAACTCTTCATCCGTTACTAGATCCCTCCACATCTTCGCCTTGACGTTGAGTCGCTCCACCGTATCGTAGGCGAAAACATTGGCAGAGTCATCGTGCCGTACAGCCACAATATGAGAGTTGTCGGTGAATGGTTTAAAGGTAACAGGATCGACATACTCGCCCACCTCATTCTTCGAAAATTGGAGCTTGATCAGGTCTAATTGCTTGAGCGGAAGGCCGTTGACTGGATTGGTGTCATGAGTAATCAGCCATCGCAGTATGTTCTCATGGTCGAAGATGAGGCCTTCGGGAGTACACACCGGAGAGGTGAAGGGTTGTAGACTTAGGGCGCAGAACGTGTATGGTAGGCGCTTGAAAGAGGCATGGGCTCCATTGGGCTTCTGATTCACGCCCGAGCCAGCGGACGCCGAGTACGCGTCAGAGGAGGACCACTCGGAGTGTGTGATCTGAATGACAAAGTCAGAGATCGTTGATAGCGATGGAGATGTGGTTGTGACTTACGTAGAGTTTGTCGGTTCCTAGAGCCCCAGTCAGCTATCGAAGCCATCTTGCATGCAGATTGTGACTGACCTTTTCCCATGGTGGTGAAGCCGGTTTCGATGTTCAAGTTTGTCGGCTCAAGCTGCGGTACGAGGTACAGGTTGCCAGGCGTGGGCCTCGGGGACTGTGACTAATGTAGAGGGAAACAGAAGCGGGGATCTGTGCCAGTTTTCATCCCAGCAAAACTGTCACTATTCTTGGCTGCACACCCCCCAGAAAATAAGCTAGCATTTCGGTCAAATTTTTGGAAGCTCTCCCGCAGCGCAGCTTGCACTTGTATCCAGTCTTCGTGTAGAGACCATCGCCTTTCTTCTTTCTTCTCCTCCTCTCTCCTCTCTCCTCTCCTCTATCTCTTTGAAGGCAGTCAGGATGCCTGTCTCGCGGTCTGTGACTTCAATCTTGAGGACGTCCCGAACTGGCCTGTCCCGTTCCAGAGGTGTGAACCCAGTCAATCGAGTCTTTGGCCACGACAGGTTCGGCGCGAGAACATATGCGGCGGCCTTCGAGAGGAACAAGCCTCATGTGAATATTGGTGAGGAGGGAGCTCTGACGGACTACCATGGAGTGCCAGCCGTATTGATGCTTTACAGGTACCATTGGTCATGTCGACCACGGCAAAGTAAAGATGATTCCACTCTCATTGAAGGAGTATTCTAACACCTTCCAGACAACCCTCACCGCAGCCATCACCAAACGACAAGCAGAGAAAGGCTTCGCGAAATTCCTGGAATATGGCGCCATCGATAAAGCACCGGAAGAGCGAAAACGTGGTATTACGATTTCTACAGCACACATCGAATACCAGACCGAAGCTCGACATTACGCCCATGTAGACTGCCCCGGACACGCTGATTACATCAAGAACATGATTACTGGTGCTGCAAACATGGATGGTGCGGTGGTGGTGGTAGCTGCTAGCGATGGTCAAATGTAGGAGTCCATCACCCTCGCTGTTCATGCAGCAGCTTATACAGAACAGGCCTCAGACACGAGAACATCTCCTCCTCGCCCGCCAAGTCGGCGTGCAAAAGATCGTCGTCTTCGTCAACAAAGTGGACGCGGTGCAAGACAAAGAAATGTTAGAACTGGTCGAGCTCGAAATGCGCGAACTCCTCAACACCTACGGCTTCGAAGGCGAAGAAACCCCTATAATCTTCGGCTCCGCCCTCTGCGCCCTCGAAGGCAAACAACCAGAAATCGGCGTGCAGAAGATCGACGAACTCCTCAAAGCCGTCGACGAATGGATTCCCACCCCGAACCGCGACATCGAAAAACCGTTCATGATGTCCATCGAAGAAGTCTTCTCCATCTCCGGTCGCGGGACAGTAGCCTCCGGCCGCGTCGAACGGGGCGTGCTGAAGAAGGACTCGGAAGTCGAACTCATCGGAAAGAACCCCACACCCATCAAGACCAAAGTGACCGACATCGAGACCTTCAAAAAATCATGCGACGAGTCCCGCGCAGGCGATAACTCCGGCCTCCTCCTCCGCGGCGTGCGACGAGAAGACGTCAATCGCGGCATGGTCGTCGCCGTGCCCGGGACATGCAAACCATACACCGAAGCCCTGGTGTCCATGTACGTGCTGACCGAGGAAGAAGGAGGCCGGAAGACCGGGTTCGGCGAGAACTATCGACCGCAGATCTTCATCCGGACGGCGGATGAGGCGGCGGATCTCAAGTGGCCGCCGGAAACCGAGGATCGTAGTAAACTGGTCATGCCGGGCGATAACGTCGAGATGGTGCTGAGGACGCATCATCCCGTGGCGATGGAGAATGGACAGCGATTCAATATCCGAGAGGGAGGGAGGACCGTGGCTACGGGGTTGGTGACGAGGGTGATCAAATGAAGAAAGGCTGTGATCAAGCCGTCTTTTGGGGGGCGGCTGTGTGAAAGAGGGAGTGAGATGAGAGCGGACGGTGGGGACGGGTGGTATCGAACAGGAGAAGAAGAGTGAGAATCTAGAATCTAGATTCTTCGTTGGAAGAAGAAGTGGTGTCTCAGACTTTGGCATCGCTTAGCCGCCGCGCATTTTCATGGCCTTCATCATCCCCGGGGTTCAAGGTCAACAAATATATCATGTGTACCACCACCACCACCTCGAAAGCAAACAGGGGGGCGGAACGGAATCGGTGCGGATCCTTTTGTATGTGTTTTGTTGGCGTGTGTATAACCGGCAAGCTATGCATGCATGTATGCAAAGCTCTGACATAGACATCCCTCACCTCTCTGACCTACAAACTTTACACACTTACACATTTACTTCAACGTTCAAGATGGCCTCCCTCCCACGCATGTCTTCCGACCAACCATTCACAGTTACCGTACTTGGTGATGATGATGATGATGATGATCATGGTCCCAGCAACAAAAGAAAAGAAAAAGAATAGAAGATGAAAGTCTAAAATCTGCGTCTCTCTTTTTTTTTTTTTTTGGCTGTAGCTGAGAGATGGAATGCGAATGCTACTGCAGCTTTCTCTCTCTCTCTGTCTTTCTCACTCACTATGCAAATCGTACACTCTCCGACAGAGGCGGGACGGCCAACGCTTCGCTTCGCTTCGCTTCGCTTCACTGTTAGCTCCTGACACGCCTCTTGTTCGTGATCAGCATTCTCCTCAACTAACCCCTTGTCTTCTCCTGCGGTTGCGTCT